AATACGTGTAATTAAAATTACTAGTATTTTAAAAGTATTTAATTAGTCTATTTAAATTAATTTATTACTTATTTAAAAACCTTATTATTCTTAAGAAGTAAGTTATAAGAATTAAAAAGTAATTAGATTATAATACCGCGTATAAAGTTATAGGTATGTGTAGGTGTATCGCGTTTAAGGACCTAAAATATATTATAATTTAACGTTAAAATATCTTAAATTTAATAGTAAATTAGGCTTATAATTATTACGTTAATAGCTATAAAAGCGGATTAAATAGTGGAATTATTCTTAAAATTAAAGCTATTTAAATACGAAAAATAAGCCCTTATTTATAGATATTAAGGTTATCTAATAGGTCTCCTAAAAAGTAATTAATTTAAGGGGTTTTACGGTATTTAGCTATTAAAGATTCAGCTTTAATAGGGTAATAGCGCGAGCCTTCTTTTAAGGCTTTTCGTACAATCGAAAAGCAGCTATTTGAGGCGTTTTAGGGCTTATCGGGGTCCCCGATAAATAGCAGCCTTTTTCCATTAAAAGGGGCCTTTAGCGTTGATAGAGACGCATAATATTTTCCCATAATAACCTTATCAAGTTTATGGACTTTTAACCGAACGAATCAACGCATTCGTTATTAAGAGGCGTCCCCAAGCTCAATTTTCTTGGTAATATCGAAACAGGATATAAGCAAATACTCTACGAGCATTACCAGACCACATCGTATCGCATTCTACATTCATTACGCTGTCGGACTCACGGCGAAACACTTCGCCATCAGGATGCTTCAGGAGAAGGTTCCCCCGCAGTGAATTTCTGCAATTCTCAGGGCTTAGACTGATTGACCTTGCGGCTTTATTTTAGAAAGACTATGGTTTATGAGAAGAGGTGATTAATAAGAACTCACCCCACCATATAGCAACGAATATAAACCATAGTAGAAGCGCAAGAAATCTCGAGGAGCTCGGGCTCCTCTAGGAAACTACGACGGTACGAATTGACCGCCGTGCGCAAGCAATGCATGCAGAAGTGGCGCAGGGTGCTAATATGAGCCATTTTTATGAATGATTGGTACCCAAGCCCGAATGCACATGGGACTGGAAGGAAAATGTTAGGATGGGTGTAACTGCGACGAAGGAGCAAAGGAATATTAGTAGCCTTGAGTGAGACTGTGGCCTTATAATTAATGCATTCTGGAATAATACGCATATGCATTACGCGAGAAGGTTTGAAGTGAGAATAGTATGCTAATAAAGTAGCTTGCAGTCGTGCAAGTGTCGTGGCGTAGGTGCTAGCAAGTTATCAACTGGAGAATTATCCAACAAACTTCTATATTATAATATATTAATATAATGTAGCATGTACTAAAACAGACTAATATATTTAATATATTACTATACTGTCATATACCATCATGTACAGCGCGATAGCTAGGCACCTTAATTTAGTGCTAGTTACATACTTTTTGCCTCCCGCTATAAAACATAGAGTGACTGCATCACAGGTACGATCCGATGACATAACTAATTCAGCACTATACGTATAACAACTATTACGCCCCGGAATTGGGTAATTGGGCTGTATGTGGAAGCTGCCTGCAGAGCCGGATTTGACCCCGTTTTATAGAGTAGCATTAACAAGTAAGAATACAAGCACACACATCACACGGAAAGTCCCGTCCAGGTCGTAATAGTAACTATATCAATGGACCTCGTCCTTCACCGCGACCTCGGCGCCGTCTTTGCTTTTTGGCCGGACCTGTACCAGTAAATAATGTATATGGAGTCGCATCTTCCTGATCATTCCCCTTCTCGCTACTAGACGGTGACTGTGATAGGCTGTAGCCCTCAAGGTCGGATCCTTGAAGCGAGGCGACCTCGGGATTTGGATAGTGGGATAGCTGATTAATAGCGGAACAGATCATTGCGAAATGATCTGGCATCCATACTTCATATACATTCTTGACAAAACGATATGATGTGAATTTCTCCTTGCCATCAAGTTCTGTAAAGTCGAATGTGCGGATCGTATGACGGTAGTATTTTTCATCTCCATCCTTCAAATCGGCGTAGTGACCGTATAGTCGTACTTGACTATGATTGTGCGATACAGAAAAGGCTAAGATTCTGCGATCAACCTCGCGTCCGCGTTTCACCGCAAGGAATAGCTCGACAACACCTCGTACGGCCAGTGTTGCCGTGTGAGCGTTCTGGCGGTCCGCTTCATCAAGAGACGTAGAGCCGCATTTCACTTCGCACGACAGAAAGGGGAAGTAGATCAGGTACGTTGCCATGATCTTCGATTGATCCCCAGCGATCCAATTCCCAATCATTGGGGCCATCTTCTCCAGCTGGTTGTTGGAGAATGCCTCTCGCCTGAAACCCACGGAGTAATCCGGTTGCGGGCGGGGGTCAGTTAAAGGGACTGAATTACTCCATCCTTCATTTGTGCTTTCAATAAGGCATGCCAGCCTATGCGCTCCGCGATGTGCGAGTTTTTCAGCGGAAGGGACGACCTCCGGGGTGATGTCGCGATTGATTCGGGTTTTATTCCTATCTACTACGCTCTGACATGTCCTGGAAAATAAGCTGTCGCTAAAGGACGAGTCTCGAGGAGGGTGCTGCTCGGAGCTTAGTAGCTTCTTAATTAGCTCTTTACTCTGATCCGAAATCCCCAAATCCGAGTCGTGCATGTAACTCTTGTTATCTCGCAATTCTTCCTTGTAGCGAACGTCGCGATAACGGGCACTCTTTTCCTCTCTCGGTTCCTGATAGCTCGGAGTTGCGGAGCCTGCAGAGCTAGGTTGTGACCGCTTGCGACTGCGCCCACCAAGTGAAGAGACTGACTTCTTTCTCGCCAAAAGACGATCCATGTTGCGGTCAAAGAAAAATTCCGGCCAGTTGTTGTTCTCTGCCCAAAAAGCGATGGGATCGGATTTACTGTCGCCTGAACGTAAACATCGGTCCCCAGTCGGTTGTCCGTCCTCGCTTCGACCCTTTCGGCTGGCGTCTTGGTCTGCAACCTTCACTCTCTTTGCCGTACTCCTGTGCCGGTCGTTTCGACGCCTTCTTTTTCTGCCCTTTCTGCAGTGATCTGAAACTAAGCAGATTAGCAGCTGTATATACTCCGTATTGTCGACGACGATCATCAAGCTTAGTACCTACCCCCGGCGCGTGGGCTCTGGTCGTCACCATGAATCTCTGGCCCAAGGCGTGCCTGTGCTCGGGTCGGGGCCATGGCAGGAGTCGACGGGCCAAGCCCTTGTTTTATGACGCGCATGAGGATGCATGAGGATGCATGAGGACGTCTGGCTTAAATTGAGAAGAGCCTGGTTCCAGAGTTGGCACTGGGGGTCGGGAAGTTCAATGTTGCGACCGTCGCGGCCGTGGAATTGTGTCGTGTGGTGAGCGGTGCAGCAAGTTGCGTTGGCGCTGGCGGCTCACTACTCGTCACCATGGGTCCATGGCCAACCATTGTCTGGCCTACCCTATAACTCTCAAACCTCACTAGTGTCACCTACCGCAACCTCATTCAGTCTGTGGCAGAATATATTTGCCCACCAAAAAAAAGAATACACTGGTATATTATCAACGGGTAGTGTAGACCGTGATAGCTAGGTACCCGATATGGTCAAATACTTTTTGCCGCCCACTGTTCGTAATGGCGGCGCGACACATCCCTCCATCATGGTCACGGTGTGTGCTGGAAGGAGCCGCACAAAACGACGGCCAAGACATCACGTCTTTTCTGAGCCATAATGCTTAAGCCCACAGCTCCAAGGCCAAGCAACCCAATTTCACAAAAATTTTGCCTCCTTGAGCAAGATGGGAAATTACCCCTGTTTCGGACGATTTACATTTGACTACCCATCATTACAGCGTGGAAAGACCGTGTCATGATACCCCTTGCCGAAAGCAATCACTTATCAATCTGCGCAGCCGTGAGCGCGTCAACACTTGGTTGTCACAGATAAATCCTTCGGAACACCAAGTAGTTGTGGAATTGACCCCGTGATGTGACTGAGCGCAGACATGGCTGTAGGTGGAGTTGCGAGGATATGGTCTCTAGGAGACTTTCAATACGTACGTATTACTGTTGCTGTCACGATCGGTAGCATAGATGGCTCTGAAATCATCCGTTCAGGTCGTCCTTTGCGATTTGGCGAGGTCTTGGGCAGCTGTCCATGAACTTGTCTCGGCATGAATGTCCAAACACTTGCTTGCGAGTGTTGTGTATTAGCGACATGATAATATTGTAGCCTTCTACATAGTAGGCGGAGATACTGCCCACCTTCTAGAGCTCTCAACGTCGGTCTATATAAAAGTTTAGTATATTCTACTTGCGTACCTTGTTCTGAAAAGTATATCCTACTAGCTCATCAAACATGACATTAGCTAAAGTACTTCCTAGAGATTGTATTTCATTAAGCTGCTAGGTACTGGTCATGATAGAAAGTGTAGGTCCGTGGACCCCGAGGGCGATGACTGGCTGAAGTTTCAACTTGAGCGTCCAAAATCGTTGGTCCCTTGGGGTTCACCGAGAATAACGGAGAATAGCGGAAAGTCGAGCCCCACCAGCCTCATGGCCGTCGAAAGGACAGACCATAGTCCATTTGCCATCGACTGTTTGCAAGTATGCTCGCACCTTGTCCATCTAGGCCATCATGGACAGCCCCTTTGCAAAAGAACTCGCCATATCATTCGGCGCGCTCCGAAAAGCGGCACAGCTCAGTCAGTCAATTGTATCAGCCGCAGACAAGGGCGTCATCGAAAAGGACGATCTCAGCCCCGTCACCGTTGCCGACTTTGCCGTCCAGGCCCTGCTGATAGCGACCTTCCGGCACGCATTCCCCGGGGACCAATTCGTCGGCGAGGAAGACGCGTCGAGTCTGAGGCACAACGAGCTTCTCCTGGGGCGAGTATGGGATCTGTTGCAGCGGATAAGAGTCGACGAGGACGCCGCGTCGTGCGCGTTGCCCCAGTCCAAGGAACACGTTTGCCAACTCATCGATCTGGCGGGGTCGACTGCGCCCGGCGGCAAAGGGTCCGGGAGGATATGGGTGTTTGATCCGATTGACGGGACAAAGACGTATGTACGGGGGGAGCTGTACGCGATCAATATCGCGCTGTTGGTCGACGGAGAGCAGGTCCTCGGGTCCGTCGGCTGCCCCAACATGTCCATGGATGCGGTGGCGCCCCTGAAGAATGACAACATCGACCCCAGGGGCCAAGGTTGTATTGTGTTTGCGGCTCGTGGACACGGCGCATACGTTCGGTCGATCAAGGCCTCTGGCAACGACGTGGCGGTAAGACAGCTCTCTCCCGCCGCCCGCTCAGGAGACATCCGTTTCGTCACATGCGTCGGCATGGTGGACTCTGCGATGGACGGCGTGCACGAAGTCGTGGCCGACAGGCTGGGGGCTGCATTTCCGGGATGTGATCTCGTGCCGTGGGTTCTTCGCTGGGCGACGCTGGCGCTCGGGCTGGGAAACACGACCGTATGGGTGTACAGGCGACGAGATCGATATGCCAAGGTGTGGGATCACGCCGGCGCCATGCTTTTGTTCCAGGAGACGGGCGGCAAGATCACAGACGTCCTGGGCAGACGGATTAATTTGGCCGCGGGCAGAAAGATGAGCGCCAATTTCGGCTTCGTAGCTGCGCCGGAGCATCTTCACGCCAAGGTGTTGGACACCGTCCATCAAGTGTTGAGGGAGCAAGGGCACGGGGACATGTTGACAGCTTGAGGCTGCGACGCATTCATGATAAACGAGGAATTACCAAGTCACGCGGGATGGAGCTTCACACGCAACGAACACTAGACTTGGAGAGCCATCTGATAGACAGTAGTTCAATTTTCGCGAGTACAGACTATACCTCACGCCCCCAAGCTCACAACAAAAGACCGCATCTATCCAACAAATCCAACAAATCTTCAGCCATGTTTACCAAAGTCACCATCAAAAATTCATCGCTTCGTGTAAACCCCCGTGCTCACAGCATGATAGCCCCTTTTGCCAACCCTGTCGGTCAACTCGCTCCTCCACGCCTCCCCCCTAGCCACCCTCTCCATGGTCTCAACAAACGTATATTTCGGCCGCCAGCCCAGTTCGCACACAGCCTTGCTCGAATCATACACCCTATCAATCCTCGCGAGGTGTTTCCAGCCCTTGGCTCTGAAGACGTCGTCAACCCCAGGCGCGACGCTTCGAAACAGATCCTCGGGGCGGGAGTCCAAACGAGCCAGAGTCTCGGCATCACGGGAGAAAGGCGGCGGCGCACTAATAATGTACTTGGCCCATTTGATATCCCTGGCCTTGTCCATGGCACACACCGTCGCGGAAACAATGTCCTCGATATCGCACCGCCGATACGCCAGCTCCAACACCTTGAGGTTGTCATCCCCCATCGCACGCCGCCTGTCCTCGTCGTCATCCTCCTCCGGGAAGAAGCGGCTGGTCCGCAGCACGAGCACCGGCATCCCCGTCTGCCGCTGTACAAGAGCACACATGTCCTCGGCGGCCACTTTGGTCACGCCATAGATGTTCTTTGGCACCGGCACAACGGCCTCATCTATCCATGCTGCCGGCGATCCGGGCTTGGGGCTCATCGCAAGCCCAAAGCTGCTTGTTGTGCTGAAGAACAGGAAGCTCTCGATCTGGCTGCCCAGCTTGGCTGCCTCCTCTAAAAGTACCAGCGTTCCGGTAATGTTGGTCTCGACAAACTGTTCCTTTGTGTGGCTTTCCACATGGGGTTTGTGGAGGGTAGCCGTGTGCAGGACGTGCTTGATCGGGTTGGATTGCAAAATGTCGGACACCAAGGCGCGGTCGCTGACTGATCCCACGTGCTGAGTTGTTTCCGAGGCAAGGATGTCGATGCCGACGGGTTTGAAGCCCAGTAAAGGGAGTGTGAGCATTAATGCTGTGCCAAGATGGCCCGATGAGCCGGTGACGAGAACATGGTGAGAAGGCATTCTGTATTGACTTTGGCGTCTGTGTATTGACGACGAAGGAATCGCGCCAGCGCTAATGGTATATCCCTTTTTCCTTTTTTTGGTTATTGTGGTTTTTTTTCTTTCCCTCTTCCGCTGTATTGAAGAATAGAATCAAAACGGGCACCCAATTCCAGTCACAAGTTCACGACGCTGTTCCGTGCAGAAAGAATGGCAACTTCCTTGATTCACGCCGAAGCCCCGTAGATCCAGTGGGGCAGCTGGGCATTTCCGCCGGCGAAGTGAGTCAACATCCGATCCGAAACATCGGTTCCCCAGGGGTGCAAACCACTATCAACGGAGAAAAAACTGGTGGATTATCATGAAATGTACGAATTGACCGATCTTGTCATGCGGTCGTCTTTGAGGCCCGACCTGGCTGCCAGCTGTCGCCGGCCGTCTGACAGTTGGCCGAACTTGAGAGTGGAGGCTCCGAATTCAGGAACCAGACATTTTAGTTCACATCCCTTCAAAGTCCTGATTGACATCTTGTATATCCGTCCATATTGTTGATTCAATCAGAATATACCCTCCAGATCAGAGTCCCCAGTCGTATCACAGCCGCCGCAGACTCACCCTCACCACTAGCCCCCAGCCCGTCCGGCTCTCCCAGATACCCATCTCGCTCTGTTTTCGAAACGTCGCTTCTTCCGCATTAACCGTCATACAAACGTCATCCAAAGGTTTCTGACGTGGTGTTGAATATGGGGAGGCAGTCAGCGCCGCCGTCTTGGCTGATTCGTCCTTCTTGAACATGGACCAACGGCCAGCTGTCTTGCTCGCCTTATTCCGTTCGACCTGGGCCCGACCCGTTTGACGATCAACAGATGCGGTTGCACGAGCTGGCTGGAGATTCTTGGCTAATCGCTTTGCCATGTCTTCGTCTGGCCACCACAATTCGTCTCGGGGGGGCGATTTGCTGCGCTCCTCGTCGCCAGACCAACGGCCCCATTCATCAAATTCCTTGGCGCCGCCTGTCTCTGCTGTGCAAGTGACCGGATGATGCTGCGGTTTCTTATCGCCATCTGCTTTGAGGTGTTGTCTCCGGACGCGTATCACTTTCACCACTTGGTCGCTCTGTCTCTGCTCATTGTCGCTAAACACCCATCCCTTCCCGACGGCTTCATCCGGCACAAAGGTTGCCTCAACCAGCGTCGGCGGTGGACTGTAGGACGCTATGGAATCGATAAGAGCCTCAACATGCGGAACCAAAAGGGACAGGATTTCGACATCTTGCTGGTCGCGGACGGATGACCGAGAGGCTTGTTCCTCTAGTATCTGGCCCCGGAGACGAGATAGTTGTGTGGAGAAGAGGGACGAGCTCTGTGGCAAGTATACTTGGCTCTGCGTAGTATCAGAGGAATATGAACCAGATCTCGCAGGGCCGGTGACGGTAGAGTATGGCGGTGGTTGGTCCTCGTCTTCGAACATGTTCAAAGGTTGTCGTGATATTTGGAGAAGAGTAAAGTCAAGGAGAAAGTTATACGTCCCAACAGGGGTATAGACCAGATGAGACCAATATCTCAAGAAAGGCAGTCTTCTTCGGAAACTGTTTACCTTCTGACAGTCAAGTGTCCGTGAGTCTTCAGACCACCCTTACAATTCGATGTCCAACACAGCCTTTAGCGAAGGGACTGGGCCTGCTCAGAAGCAAACAACTGTCATGTCTGACAAGGATTCCACGCAGGGCTATGCAACTACAGTGGGTTCGCAGTAATTCCGAAAAACGCCCACTTTTACACCAAAACTTACACTTTTTAAAAGCTTATAATTCTATTAAATAATATAGTAAAAATATAAATTCTTTTATAAATATATAATTAAATACTTATTCATTATAAATACTATTTTTATAATATTTTTGAAATTTTATTTCTTATTTTATTTAAGTTTAAAATAATTAAATATTCTTAAAATTTTAACTTATTTTTATTTTTAAATTTTACTTTAAATAAAATAATATAAAATATTAAAAATATATATAAATAATATTTAAGTATTAAATTATTATATAATAATTCTAG